GAGCAGATTCATTTTATACTCAGACTACTCCGTGCGAACAAGCGGGCGAGACAAAGGCCGGTGTGAACGCGCCGCGCCCAAGGCGCCGGGGGGGGAACCGGGCAGGGCACCGGGCAGGGCACCGGGCAGTCGGGGTGCTCTGCAAAGCCAGGCCCCCAGACTTCCCCCACATGGAGAGCGGCAGTCCCACGCGGCAGATGGGATCACCACCTTAGCCAGATGGGATCACCAGTTCTGCAGGAGGGCGACGAGGGGACATTTCCCCGCAGAGAGGAACACATGGCCTGGGCAGCCCCGCAGCCCCAAGCGTCAGCCGAGATGGTCTCAGCCATGATCTCAGGGGCAGAGAGCAAATGTGTCCCCCCATGGCACCTGGGAACAAGATCTTGCACCCCAAAGAGAATGCGGGGAAGGGGATGGTACTAAATACTAAAAGTGTCACAGCTGGTGCTGCTCTGCACCCCAGTGCCTGGCGAGCTCCCAGCAGCCGGAACACACAACTTCAAGAAACAGCTTTGGCCCACATTTAGCCCAGTACATGGCACCAGCAACCTGGGAACAGAAACAGCCAGAAACAGAACACACCAGATGCAGAAAGAACATGGCAGGCAGCTGGCTGCCCGGCAAACGCTGCTGCGCTCTCGCCCCGTGCCGCGCAGGGCGTAGCTCGGGACAGCAAACCAACCCATTTATTGCCACCATCACCCATGGCAGCCAAACGCTAAGAACAAAACAGATTTGGTCTTAAATTTTAACACAAAGGAATAATGAAAGCATTTCTCCCAAACCGAGGGCTTGCAGCCACAACATGAACCAGAAGCAACCAAATGGACAGAAGTTTCAGCAGTATCTTCCCCATTATATAAACCAACTTCTTATCTTGCAGTTCAGCTGAAAACCAAAAGAGTTCCGCCCTCAGCACCACAGCGTTGTCACAAGCAAGCACTCAGTAAAGTTGCCACTATGGTTAAGGAGGGTTGTGACAAAGTGAACCACATCCTACACCAATTTACTCAGAAACCCCATTATTTTGCAGAGGAGCAGGGAGCCCCCAGAGAACAGGGGGCAGGTCTACCACAAAGCCCGAGTGGGCACTGCCTGGCAGGCAGCAGGGAGAGCTCTCGGATGCAGCTGTACCTTCCCTGCCGTGGTAGGACCAGAATGGCTTTCTCCTCATCAAGTAGCGAGCAGAGAGCCACGCAGCAGGGTCCCTGGGGGCACAGAGGCTCTCTGCGGCTCTGGCAGGGGCTACAGGCATTCGAGGCTCCCCAGGATTGTTTTGCAATGGCTCTAAAGGCGGCTACGAGAAACAGCCGTTCCCCACCCTGCCAGGGGATGCATCAGGCATGAAGCAGCATGGGGACAGGAGGTTTCTCTAGCACATTAAGGCACTTCAGCATCGATCCGCTTCCTCTGCGGTCTGAATCACACCCACGCACAGAGTGCTGTTTCAGGGGGGATAAAAGGCTTAAGGCTTCTGGGGTACCAGTGCCCAGGGGGAGTGTTTTCAGAGTTGTCTTTGTTGCTCTATTCCCCAGCTCCGGCTGCATTTACCTGAGGAAAGCAGGGCCTGCTCCGTGAATGGCTACACAAGCACCCAAGCCATAAGTGTGCACACAGCATCCAAGGAGCCTGTAGCACCTCGACGTAATTAGCAGTAGTATAACTGGCACACCTGCTTGCCTCTGAAGGCCACAGATATCCCCTGAACACTCTGATAATCCTCTGGTCTTACCAGTCACACAGGATCTGCGCAGAGAATTTATCAGAAAGACCAGGGCATACATTTCCCTTCAGTGATGATTTTAACTGTTGCATTTGCATGTTCAGCATTTGACATGCCTGGAAGGCAATTCAGAATTCATCTCCCAGCATCAGAGACCACACCAGCTCCAGCAAACACCACATAAACACATTCCACAACATCAAAGCTACTGCAAAGCCCAACACTGAAGCCCTGAACGATTCCAGTCAGCAGCTAAACACTTCTGGCAACAACACCCCGATTTCTCACAGATTGGATAAGTCACACATCTTGTACCCGAGCAAAGGGATGGTAAAGTGCTGAATAGGTTCTGGGTTGTAGGAGCTCTGGACTCCCGAGGGTTTCAAGTCTTCTTTTCCTGCCTTACTTTGGGGAGCATTCTTTACTGGGTGATGCAGTTGTCTCCCATGTCCTGAGCGTATCTGTCAGATATTGCCGTCCTTAAGTCCTCCACCTCTTTGTGAAGCTGTTTTACCTCCACCAGTTTCTTTGCAAGTCCATCAGGGCTCAGCAAGTCGTCCTTCTCCTTAGCAGAGCACTGCACAGCTGTGGAGTCAGAGAAAGGAGTTACCTCACAAGCAATTCTGACCAAGGATCACACACACTTGCAAGCGAGCCAGAAAAACCAATGCACATTTGCAAAAGAGCTACTACTTAACATTTAGTTATTACAGCACGCACCTTTAGAGCTAGCTAACCACAGAAAGAAGGTTCACAATCCCAGAAAGATGAGAACCTTCCACGCTACACTGCGAGTTATTCGATTTTGCCGCAGCTCTGCCATCGCTCCACACACTTACAGCGAATGCCCAGGAGCAGGGAGAGGTTGGGATCCTTGCCCTGAGCCCTCTGAGTGACAATGCTGTAGACAGACTGCAGATCCTGCAGACAGCTGGCCAGCTCGCCGTGCAGCTCCTGGGCGAGGCGGGCTGTCTCAGCAGGCAGTGGCTGGGTTGCTAGCTCTGCCTGCCGGAGTCGCTCCTGAAGGGTCAGGTTCTTCTCAATGAGATCCTGATTCTGCACTGAAAGCTGAACAAAGGGACACAGCAGGTTAGCGGTCACTTGGTACAGAACCAGCACGCTTAAAGCAACTTAATGCAACTGCTGGACGATGAGGAGTTTACATCAAGCCCTCCAGATTCTCACCAGATAGCTGTCAGTCCTACAGGGTGCGAGCTTTCAGCTTTCGTGGCTCAGACAGCGAGCGCAGCATGACACTGCCCTGTCCCTGCTGAGGCATGATGCAACAACAGAAGCTTCCAGGAGGCTGCGCACCAGCCGCTCGCCCCAACGGTGGCCATCCCTTCGCCTCAAGGGCTGCCATTGTGCTTGGCTTCCTTTAGGCTTTAGCATGGGGCTCAGCCCTGCCCTCTAGCCAGGGCTGCAGTCATTTGGACTCCTGCTCACCACCTTGCTGCCCCCAGATGGCAAGCTCAGCATCCTCCACCACAACCGGCAGCCCCAGCTGAAGTTCCCAAGGTAGAAACTGCTTTTCTCCTCCTGCTTTTGACCAGTGAAGAGCTCCTTTCAGAGCACTGACAGCGCAACTGATTGAGAGGAAGCAGGAGAGGTTGTGCTGCTGACTGCAAATTAAGGGCCTCGCTAAAAGCACCCATTGTTCATTCAACTGCTATGCTCAGGCACTCTAAACACACCCGCTCTGACCTCTTTCACAGCGGTCCGGAGCTGCTGCAGTGCGTTTTCTCTTCTCATCGCCTCCTCTTTCAGAGCCTGGCTTGTCCCCTCTTCCTGGGCCACCTGTTCTTCCAGGTTCTGGAACAGACCATGGGAAAGCAGTCAAACTCCCTTCACAGCAGATTTTCATTTCTAGGTCCCTCCACAGTCACCTCTCACCTTTACTTCCAAGGACAACTGCTCCATCTTCTTCTGCTGTTTGTCCACAATCTGGAATCAGAAGCAGAGGCATCAGAACTGGCCACGCAGCCCCAGTAATGCCACCAGGATTTCTCCTTTAGCAGGAGCGCATCCCCTCTCCTCCTCTTTCCTGTCCACCTACTGCTTTAATCATTGCCTCTGTTTGTAGTGGACTTAGATTCCCTGATGAAAGGCACCTGATAAAAGGCACCATTAGAATCATCAGCTAAAAACAGACTGGAGAAGTTGCATTCTTGTGGTTTTCCTCTCCCCTCTTCTGCATTATGCGACTTCTCTGCAGTGTTACTGTAGGAGTGCATGGCTATCACACCAAGAACAGCTTTTAAAACCCCTCAGTCTGGTATTCCAGGAACTGCTGCTTCAGTACAGTTATGACTGCCTATGACTGCAAAACTTCCCGATTTCATTGCAGTGCCTGGTGTGACTCAGTGGAAGGAAAAAACGTGTGATTCCCAGTTGGCACGGCCTGTTACCTTCCTGAGGCAGTCACATTCTTTCTTCAGAGAGTCATTTTCTATTTTCTGTTTCTCCCCATCCTGGACAGGGGGTCCTCTCTCTGCATTCTTTCCACACTGCTGCACCTTGTCCTGCAAGCTGAAATTAGCAGAACACCATGGAAAACCAGCTTTATTTGGGGTGTTTCCCTCACTGAACAATACGAGGCGGTGAATGATTTTCACATCAGGTGTCAGTCTTGCCCTCTTTTCATCCCAGCTTGCAAACTGCCAGGGCTGTGAAGGAAGAAATCCCTCTCCCTCAACACAGCCCTGCACATGACATTGGCACATTTGCAGAGATGCAACGATTGCAGATTACCTAGATCCATTTTGCAAGGAGTTACAGTTGAGAGCAATAACCCGAGGACATAGACAAACCC